AAGCTGTAGACCTGCAAAATGAAGTAATCAAGTCTGTGCCCCAAGATACAACCATGATATCAAGGTACGCAAATGTGTTTAAACTAGTCTAACACAGTCCCTCACTCTATATAGCTGTTACTCTTTGTGTAATAACATTTTTTAGACCACTGTTACACCACAATAAGCGGGGCCTATCACGCCGTCCCTCGTGCTGCACTGGGACACTCTGACCACGGCATGGTCCATCTGTTGGAATGTTCATCCTTGGAATATATCAAAAGAGAAGAAAAAGGATTCTCAATAAAGAAAATAGTTATGATCAATAGGAAATAGAAGTCTGAATCTGATGTGTGATTAGAGTGCTGCACACTGTCGCACTCTCTTTTACAACCTGGATAGAAGACCAATCATATTTAAGGTCAAAAGGAAGTTTGTTAAATGATTTGTGATGGTAAACGCAAACAGTAAAAACGTTTTCATTTACTTGATAGTACTTCTTTTCTAACTTTTACATAATCCGATATGCAAGAGTTGTTTAGATACATTTTTGAATTTTAAACACCTCTATCAATGACAGACATCCTAAACATCACATTGAACTTGCTTTAGTTGTATAATAAATGCACGATATATAGATGTCAGGGTGCATTGGTGCAAATATAAACAAAATCCAAGCAATACGTGAAGAATTACATGAGATTAAGTAGCACATTTTAATGGTATGATACTCATGCTCACTAAAAGTACATTATCCTTCGGGATACTCGTTTCATCCAAGTGTTCGGCTGAATCGTAAGATAAATGTATCCAAAAACTCTCCCATGTCACGAGTGCACATCAGTTGCATATTAGCTCAGGCATTTGTTCATTGTTTCAATGTCTTGATTTATCGTAATCTCTGCTCATCTCGTGCTGCATTCACTTGATGGAGAACAGTTGTAGATATGAACGTTTCACATTGTAAATACTGCACCTGAACAGGATGTTTGTCCATGAACTCAGTTATACAGATTTCAATCATTTTTTATTAGAAATAGCATTTTGTGATCACAACTCTGAAAATGTCTTGGCATTGTAGGATGTGTGACTGAAATAGGCGTGGTTGGTTTGCTGTAAACCGTAGGATAACATCTCCCTTTTGCAACATGAAACAGGATGATCAGGAATGACCAAAATCTGCAGAACTTATCCTTCAGTGCATCTTGGCAGCTTTGCTGGAACTTGAGCAATCCTCAGTTTTTATATAAGCAACAGTTTTGTCACTTTGGACGAGAATACTTCTCTGGTGCACGGTATGTGCCAAAGAGGACGTCCCAGTGGATGAAGTAGGGGGCGTAGTTGACACTGTGGAGAGTATGGTGGACTTGGTGGTAGGGGGCTCCTCCCAGACAGGGCAGCAGTCTGTGCAGAGCCCAGGGCAGTTCGTAGCCACAGTGGTCCTCCACCGCCAGCCAGCTGTTGACGAGGTGGAAGACGGCTTCGCTCAGAGGGTGGCAGCCCACCGCCCAGGCGCTGCTCAGAGCCAGCAGCAGCAGAGACAGCAGCTCCAGAGAGCCGCTGTCCTGAGCGGCCAGAGCGAAGGGTGTGTGGTGCTGGTGGTGCAGCTGGTGGGCGTTACGGTAGAGCCAGGTAACCCTGATGAGAAACACACAAAAAGCTGAATTATAAAAGTTATGGATAAGACAATATTCCCAGAATGGCATAATGTCAGTGTGTCTGTGGAAGTCTACTACTTCTACTGGTACCTCTACTACAACAGTACAACAACTACACTATACAATACTATTATGTCGTGTCTTATTAAAGGGCAACTGTCAGGGCACCTATGGTCACCTAGGAATTTAAGGATAAAGGGAATATTAACACTTTTGGACTGAAGATGCCAACAGCTCATTTTTGCTCAAGTATACAGGCGCTTTAATGTTGGGCGAACAGTGAATCCTGAATGTTACAACGCGACCCAGAGGCAACTGAAGAGTGAGGAGTCAATTTGATCTGTTCCTGCACTGTCACTGGTTTTGGTGTACTGACTTAAAGACCAATGCAGCTCTTCCCTCGATAAAAAAAAACATGATCACTGGAGTCACGGACTCCTGTAGGTGGCGTTGTTGTCTGCTATTATTTTACATTTCATATTCATTTGTTTTAAGATAGTTATTGAATCTTATTTCACCCTATTGGGCTTGACAATAGTACACAACTAACGTGACATGGGGTGCTCACCTGTGCATGGAGACGTGCCATATAAAGAAGAGCGTGTCAAAAAGCAGCAAACACGAGAAGATTTCCACAAAGAGCTGCCAGCAGGATGGAGCCAGCTGCGGTAACGCGGGGCTCCTCAGCGTGTGAAACAGCGCGGTGGCCGGGAGGACGGCAGTCAGGTATCTGTACAGCAGCCTCCAAAAACAGTCAAACCAGCGGCGGAGAGACGGCGGCGGACCCGATTCTGCAGCGATCCTCCACGAGCGGACCCGCCGACAGACGCTCCCCAGCGCGTCCAGCGCGAGGAAAGGTGCGCAGAGCAGGACGTGGGTCAAGAAGGCGTAGGACGCAGGCAGGTAAGGGGACAGCAGGATGTCCTCCTGCCCTGATCTCACTGACTCCCATAGCCCCTGGAGGATAGGCGCATGCGCCTCTCCATGCTCTGTGGCGGTCACATTCATCACGGCTCTCAAATCACGATCTGCCTCTTATTTCAGGTAGGTAGTAGGTTATTCTTACGAAATGAAGAACTTATTTCCCCCTTTTAAAGCTATCCTCATAGGAATTGTATCCACTTTAAATTTCTCCGTAGGGATCAGTCCTGGATAAACTCTTCCATATATTCTTAAACACAGGTAAATTAGATGCTTTTCCTCGGCTGCTGCCTCGCTTCTTACTGGAGAAGCTTCTTCCTAATGCTGCTGGAGAAGTTTTCTCTCCACACAATAGAGGAGGAGGAGGAGTCCCAGATCTACCATTTCTTCTATGTTGAGTTAAGTGTAACTCAATAAAAGAAGTAGGCTGATCCTCATCGCAGCCTTAACTTTACGCACTAGAACCACCTACTAAAAGGTTTCTGGGAGAGGACTGTCACATTAAAAAATCTTTTTTTTTTCATTGGAGACTCAGAAACTATCATTACACTACTGACTGAAGACAGATTTAGATAGTGTCTCTCAATTTCGGGGATTTTCCAGGAAAAAGTCTTCATCAGCTAGAACAGGATTAGTTATCAGACTGGCAAAATATGAACGAAATTATGATTGAAATCAGAGGAAAAAAGCCTGAACATTTCAACATTTCAACATCTCATTGCTTTCAGTCTGTTCACCAGTGAATCATCATTGCTTTCTCTGAGTAACCGTTGCAATGCAAAGTGCATTTAAAGTCACTCATCCATGTTTCGAGGAAAGCTGTAGACCTGCAAAATGAAGTAATCAAGTCTGTGCCCCAAGATACAACCATGATATCAAGGTACGCAAATGTGTTTAAACTAGTCTAACACAGTCCCTCACTCTATATAGCTGTTACTCTTTGTGTAATAACATTTTTTAGACCACTGTTACACCACAATAAGCGGGGCCTATCACGCCGTCCCTCGTGCTGCACTGGGACACTCTGACCACGGCATGGTCCATCTGTTGGAATGTT